CACACTCGTCCATGCTAAAAATGAAATCGTACCATCACAGCCAAGCCGGGTTCCCCCCCTCCCTGGGGTTCCTTGGTTAAAAAAAAACACTATGCGGTGACATGTTTTGTTCTAACATAACATTTTGTTCACGAATCCCTTGCAAAACCAGAGAAGAAGTGCGCACGCGCGCGTCGTCGCGCGCGCATGTCGGAATCCTTCAAGAACCTCTTGGTGCGGGAAGGATTTCGCAATCGAGCTTCCAAAAACATACAAACACACAGGGTTTCGCAACACAGAGTTGCTAAAAAAGCTTCCGCGAAAGCTCTTGCGAAATCTTAAGAAAACCATAGGTTTGTCAACATTTTCACAATATGCTACCAAACTCGCTTCGCGCGCGCTCATGTCGAAATCTGTCGAACGCCCTTGCGCGTGTGCCGTCGCGAGAATCCCCCGCAAAACATGGGACGAAGTGCAGACGCGCGCGTCGTCGCGCGCGTATGCCGAAAACCTTCAAAACCCAGCGGTGTCGGCAGGATGTCAAAATCGTGTCCAAAAATTTTATAAAAACATAAGGTTTCGCAACACTGATTTTCAACAAAAAGCGTGCGCGCGCGCTCTTGCGTCGTCGTCGTCGTCGCCGTCCTCCCTCCTCCCGCGTCGTTGTCGTCGTCGTCGTCGCCTACGTCGTCCTCTGTCTTTCCTCGTGTTCGTCGTCGTCGTCCTCTTTTGCGTCGTGGTCGTTTCCGTCGTCGTTGTCGCCGTGGTCGTCCTTCCTCCTCCTCCTCGTCGTCGTCGTCGTCCGTCGTCGGCGTCTCGTCGTCGTCCCTCCTATTTCGTCGCCGTCGTCGTCGTTGTCGTCGTCGTCGTCGTCGTCTTGCCTCCTCTCTCGTCGTTGCCGTCGTCGGCGTCGCCGTCCTTCCTTCGTCGTTCGCGTCGTCGCCGTCCTCCCTCCTCCCTCGTCGTTGTCGTCGTTGTCGCCGTCGTCGTCCTCCCTCCTTCCTCGTTGTCTTCGTTGGCGACGTCGTGGTCGTCTTCGTCGTCGTCGTCGGCGTCGGCGTCGTTGTCGTCTTCGTCGTCGTCGACGTCGGCGTCGTCGTCGTCGCCGCCGTCGTCGTCGTCGTCGTCGTCGGCGTCGTTGACGTCGTCGTCGTCGTCGGTGTCGTCGTTATCGTCGTCGTCGGCGTCGTCATCGTCGTCGTCGTTGTCATCGTCGTCGTCGTCGGCATCGGTGTCGTCGTCGTCGTCGGTGTCGTCGTCGTCGTCGTTGTTGTCGGCGTCGTCGCAGTCGTTGGAGACGTCGCCGGTGTCGTCGTAGTGGTTGTGGGCGGCGTCGTCATCGTCGTTGTCGCTGTCGTCGTCGGCGTCGCTGTTGTTGCCAAGTGCCATGTGGTACCCACCGTCACGGTCTTAAGAGATTTTGCCCACCAAGTTGCGGGTGGGTGGGTGGGATGTTTGCGCGAGCAGTGGAGTGGACAATTCACTGCGAACAGAAAGTAATTGCACCACATCTATCGCACCGCGTAGATTGCACCAAATTGGTTGTACTTCGTAGATCTCTCCACATGTATGGCACTACGTATGGTGCACCACATAGATTGCACAACCTCTTTCGCACAACGCAGATCGCACCACATAGATCGCACCACATCTATAACACCGCGTAAATCCTCCTCCCCCGTCAAGAATTCGGATCTACCACCACCACCCACACCGCGTGTTTCGCGGCCCTCCCTTGGGATAACACAGTTGCATATGGGTATGCCCCATCGTTGATTTCAAATATAAGCTCGTACCATTCCAGCCAAACTGGTATCGACCCTCCCCCCTCTTCACCCTTGACAACGAATACTTTTCGCGCGCACTTGTTTTTCAAGATTTACCATTCACCAAGACGCGCTTGCACCAAATGACACAAGGACCACACGCGTGTGGCGTCGCGCGCGATTGCCGACATCATTTATCACATTGTTCGTAAGGATTGCGAGATCGAGGTTCCCGGGAATGTGTGGTACACCCTTGGGTTTTGCAGCATGGTGTTTCACAGAAGTCCGCGCGCGCTTTCGCGAATCCATCGGACAACCATCCGTTATTTAACTTGTTAGTCGAATGCGAGCGCGCGAGCCTCTCTCGCGCGCATGCCGAACTCACTCGCTTGCCTTTGCGCGCTTCCTGGGGGGACGAAACCCATGCAACAGACGAAACAAACTCCACACGCGCGCATCGTTCGTGAAAAACTTGAGGCGTCCTACGGATTTCAAGGTCGAAGTTCTCGAGCGCATCTGGAAATACATGTTTACATATTGGTTTTTCATAAATGCCTGCGCGCGCTTTCTTGCGATTTCCCACGGACATTTTTCCAGTCGACTAATCGAATGCGACCAGGCCGGCTTCTCGCGCGCGCATGTCGGAATCATTCGAACATTTTTGCACGGTTGTTTGGGGGGGGGCGGGGAACTATCCGTGTCAAGTCATACAATGCGACCCGCTCGCGCCCGTGGGCCGCGTGCGCATGTCGAAATCTCCCCCGAACTTTCATCACCGACACCTGTATCGTCATGCGGGAAAGTCCTGGCGCGGCAGACGCGCTGGGAAGTTTCGTGCCGGACTAGCTGGCCGCTGTGCGCGCGAGCCTGCGTTTTGAAGCGCGGCCGCAGCGATGCGCCAGCCAGCGCCAAAAGCATGTATCGTTCTCGTCGCCGCATGGGTTTTGCAAGTCAAGTTGCGGGTGGTTGGGTGGGATCATTGCGCGAACAGTGGATTTGGCAACTCAGTGCGAGCAGATGATATTGCACCGCGCGGATTGCACCATAAAGGTCGTTGCGTATGAATTGTACCACATTCGTATGTATGTGTATATATATATATGTATATATTTATATATACGTATGTGTCTTTGGCACCACATAGCTTGTAACATATACCTTGCATAACATCGATCGCACAACAAAGACCGCACAGCATACATCGCCCACAAGAGCAGCTCCATGCATACTGCACCGCATAGATTGCACCGCATAAATGTTCGCAACACATTGTTTGGTGCCCATGCTGGCTACCTTCTGCTTTTTTTTGAAACAGGCCCGTCCCAGTCCGAATCTTTTTTGGAAAGGCCCCTCAGCCTCAGCCGCATCGCCTCTGTGAAAAAGCTCCTCCCAACGACCATCCTTTCGGCCCGTGTGCACTGTTTGTGTGTGTATCCTTCCCCCGCGCCCGCCCACTCCTGCGTGCGGAGCTCCCCTCTCAAGCGTCCTGCCGTTCGCCGACCGCCTGCTGGAACCAGCCTGCCGCAGGCCAGACCACATTTTTCGCTTGCTGCCATGGACCCCGGGGCCGGGGACGGCCCCGGGGGCCCAGCATCGGCGGAACCTTCCAGGACGCCCCTCCGCCAGGACCCGCCTCTTAGGCTGCAGCTCCTGGGGGTGCATTCAGAATCGGCGCTGCCATATCCTCCTCCCCCTCCCCCTCCTCCTCCTCCTCCTCCTCCCCCTCCTCCTCCTCCTCCTCCTCCTCCTCCTCCTCCTCCTCCTCCTCCCCCTCCTCCTCCTCCTCCTCCTCCTCCTCCCTCCTCCTCCTCCTCCTCCTCCTCCTCCTCCTCCCTCCTCCTCCCTCCTCCTCCTCCTCCTCCTCCTCCTCCTCCTCCTCCTCCTCCTCCTCCTCCTCCTCCTCCTCCTCCTCCTCTCCTCCTCCTCCTCCTCCTCCTCCTCCTCCTCCTCCTCCTCCTCCTCCTCCTCCTCCTCCTCCTCCTCCTCCTCCTCCTCCTCCTCCTCCTCGCTGGCCCCTTGGCTCGCGGAGTGCGGCTTGGAGGCGGCCGGCTTCACGTTTAACTGGGTGCAGGCCTCGGCCGCCGCGCCTCCGGCCAGCTCCGGGACTCCGCGGGGCAGCAGCCCCGCACGAGGGCCGCAGCCACCGCCCGTGGGTCAGGAGGGACAAAAAACACACCCAGACACAATTAATCGTCGATTTGCAGGAAAATAAGGGAAAAGATGGGAAGTGGGGGGGAATACAAAAACCCAGAGGGACAAAAAACACACAGACACAATTAATCGTCGATTTACGGGAAAATAAGGGAAAATATGGGAAGTGGGGGGGGAATACAAAAAACCCGAAAATATGGGATAATATGGGGAATCCTTGTATTTGTGTGGATTCATTTGTGTGTCCTGGGGTCCCTTCATTGTTCCCGCCCGATCCAGCTTGCACTCCCGGTCGGAGGTGGACAGAACCCCCAACAGTGACACGTCGATTAGTGAATCGTCCGTTTTCGGTTCTCGAGAGGGCGCCGTGACCGTTATTTTCCAGGCTTGCGCCCGCCAGGTTTGGGCCTCAGGTCGTTTTCACTAAACCACGTTTTACTGAAGGGGGGTCTGTCCATCCCCGATTGTTCCCGCCCGATCCAGCTTGCACTCCCGGTGAGTCCAGCACCATCCCGAGCTTTCTATCCGGCCTGGTCCGACCGAAAAATGGCCCGCGGATCGAGCAGCAGCAGCAGCCTTTGTCAGTTGTGACGAAGGCCTCCCATCAGAAGGCGAAGACCCACCCCCACCCCCAGTCCCGACGCCCATCCCCGAGCCGGGTATTCGAGGGGTCGGGGCTGGGGTTGGGGGTGGGTTTCCTCCATCGTTGCACCCCGAGCCCCACTCTCACCCCCCAGTCCCGACCCCCTGGATCGCGGGCTCGGCGATTGCACTCATGTTGTATAGCTGTGCAGTGTAAGCTATGTGGTGCACATTATGCGCATGTCTGTACATGTTCTTTGTTCTAATCGTGTTGCGCCCTGCCAGCTCCTACCGATCCCCTTCGTGGTACTGCTTTTCTCACGATCATATGTTGTGTTGCCCCCTCTCAGTATAGCCATGCACTGCCACGACTCGAACCCATTTAGCCGCAGCCCAGTACGACATAACCTTCATGTGCAAATTGTGTTCGTTAAGCCCCGCTGCCTCCGGACGCCCCCTGGCTCTGCCCCTCGCGGCGACGACGGCCGCACGATGCCGATCGCCCGCGCCGCCGTGCCGCAGGCCTCGCCCGCCCCCCCGGCCTGGAGGCCCCGGCGCGCGGCGCCGCGCTCGCGGCCAAGCCGGCCAAACCAGGCTCGGGGGAGGGTGGGCTCGCAAAACGACGCGAAGATCGGGACAAAATCGGATCGGGGTAACTCGAACTCTCTGAGAATCGGCGGGTATGGAGGATGTATTGGGCGCCGCGGCCGCTCCAGAGCGTTCCGGAACGCTCTGAGAGCGCTCCGGAACGCTCTGGAGCGATTTATCCCGATCCTAGCCTTGTTTTAGCTCGGGCAGCGCTGAGGGGTTCGGGCCCGGAGCATATCAGCAGATCGGTTCGATGTCTGTTCATGGGAGCCTCGGGCGGCGACATTGAGATCAGCTTTTCCTGCATGTGGGCAGCGTGGGGGCCACATTTGGCCCATCTTCCTGCTCCTCCTCTCCCCTCCTGTTCCCCCTCCCCCTCGTTCTCCTAGCCCCCACGAATCCAGTCCAAGTCTGGTCCAAATCCGGTCCAAATGTGTTCCAGATCCGGTCCAAATCAGGCCCAAATTGGACAGTGCCGGGGGCCACGCAGGCTCCCATGGAGCGGACACCAGATATCGGGACCTGGGAAGATGTCCACTGTACAACGTTTCGGGGGGGGACAGAATTCCTGCCCTGACACGTCGATTAGCGAGTTGGCCGTTTTCAGTTCGCGAGAGGGCGTCGCGGCCGTCGTTTTTGCGGGTCCAGGTCCGTCGGTTTCGGTCCCAGGCCGTTTTCATTATAGGGAGGTTCAGTAAAGGGAGGTTTGTGCACTGCCGCACTGTTGTGTTTGCCCACCACTCAGTGGCAACTGGCGGCCCAAACGCAGTGTATATTTTTGTTTCAGCCCTTGCAGCCCACAGACCCCGCCAAAAACTTCTACACGATACGTTGTCCAGTTGCGTTTTTGCGAAGCCCCATGGGACAGGGCCCAGACACTTGAATGTGTGTTTGCGCGGTTCCCAACATACCCCTATCCCTATGACTGTCATTATCGGATCTCGATGCCGATCTCAAGGGTTCCCTCAGCTTCTGAGGGCACATGGCTAAGACTGTCATCGCCTTTAGGCTTGTCCATCTTAGGGACAGGGATAGGATCGACTCTGGTCAAGGGGTGTCACCACCAGGAGACTGTTGTTTTACGGTCCGGCGGTGGCCTGGGTCATCAGGCCCGCCCACCCTTTTGTGTGGTCCTTCATGGGAGCCTCAGAGGGTCCCAGAAAGCTCCCTTCGTAGGGGTACCCAAGTGTTCTGCCTGCTAGATCCAAGTGATCATGAGGCTATCAAGCGTGAGGAACTGAGCGCGCTCGAGACCTCTCCACAATCCACACCACAAACGGGTCGCGAACGGGCAAGTGCCCCCCTCCTCCCTGTCGGCTCCCCCTTGAGGTGCCCAGGTGCCACGCCTGCTATGTCGCCTCTCAAGAGAGAGGGGCCTGGCCAACCAAACGAGCAAACCGCCGGAGACATCTCCACAATCTGGGCGCGAGCTGGAAATGAAACCACCCCTGACGGCTCCCGCGAACGGGAAAATGAAGCCACCCCTCACGGATCCCACTTGGAGCGTCCAATTGCCATCCCTTCCAGCTGCTCGAGCACGTGCTGGATGTGCTTCTCAAGCCCCCGTTGGACGCCTGCCCGTATACGTCCAGATTTCGTCGGATTTGGTTGACGTTTGGACGACATCGGACGCAATCTGGACGAAAGGGTGAAGATGGTGTGGCCGAAATTTGGTTGAAATCGCGTTGATGATTGCCGCGGGGGTCCACAGATGCTCAGATGCTCCCATGAAGGCTCACCCAGCCCCACCCCTGGGAGCGTGACCCTGTCGCGAAGGGAGTCCGCAGTACTGGTGCGCGCGGGCATGTGCGGGGCTGCCTGCCCATAGCGAAAAGATTCGGTTATCGGCCAGCACCTTCTCCGCTGATAGACCAAGTCCCCGCCGAAAAATGAGAGACTATCTCTCAGGGAGTCACCAGCTTTTCGAGGACATCGGGGATCGCAGAAGAGCCCAAAGCGGCATACGCATCAGTTCTCCGGGCGGATTTCTTGGATCGGCGCTGGGCCCCTTGGCGGCGCCTCCCTCGCCGCCCCTGGCGCGCTATGGTTTTTTTGTTACCTTGCGCCTCCCAGGGCCTCGATGGAGACCTCCTTCGGCACTGTTTTCTTTTTTTGGGGGGGTCTGGGAGTGTCTTGGTGGCACGTTTTTGCGTCTGGGCATGTGTTGGGCCGTTTTCGGCGGGTCTTGGGACATACTGCGGTTGTCTTGGGACGGTCTCGGGCCACTCTGGGGCCAGAAAATGCAATGGCACAGTGGCGGACGGGGGATGGGGCGATCCCAACGGTCATGGGCAACGTTAGGAGGTGACGGGCTCAGGGGGGAACGCATCGACCCCCAATCGAACACTTATCGCCGATAGGGGCCTGGCAGCCCACCCCACCAAGAAATCAGGTGCGGATTCGCCATTGGGGACCATCGCCGATGTATCGGCGATATGTGGCTGCTTCTGGCTCGACGTTTCCTCCCCTGAGCTGGTCTCCCTTGACGTTCCCCCGCAATCGGGCCAGTGACATGAAAGCTTGGGGCTTCACCCTGCCCCCCACGAGCACCGCGAAGGAGTCTGGCGCGCATGACTTACCGAAAGGTGCGGCGGCGGACGTTCACCTTGCTCTTCGTTATCCTCCCCCCCTCCAGTTGCTCGCCCCAGGGTGCGCCCCTCCATCCTTCCCTCTCCGTCCGCCCCCCTGCTGCTCGGCGGTCGACGTTCGACCCATACTTCTGAAATTGCGCCCCGCTCTGGTCGCCAGGAGGGGTAGGGCATGGAGAAGCAAACTTGGCGGCCTCCATAATGGTGTTCGTTGCTTCATGCTTTCACTTCTCCGTAGAGTCAGGGCGCGAGCACGGGCATGGATGCAGCATCGATCTCCGATCCCCAGCATCGTTCCGCGCGGGTACGCTAGGTGAGCGAATGCGGTCAACGCGGCCTTGGACAAGCGAGCCCCCGCGTCCTCCGGCGCCGACGGTCAAGCCGGCTCCGCAGCCGCCGGAGGCGATGGGCGCGCTGGGGCCGGGCCGTCTTGATATCGTGGCTTCCCTCCTTTATCCCTTCCCCCATCTTCGCCCTTCGTCCCCCCCCGTCTGAATCCAGTGACCCCCGCTCGTTCCCCCGCTCGTCCATCTTCCCCACGCTTCCTCCTGGCGCCCCGCCCTTCCTCTCTCGGGCCGGGCGAAAGGGGGGGATTGGGAAAGGGGGGGTTACGGAATTTGCTGCATGCAGCTGGTTTCGGCCTCACCGAGGGGCCCATTCCTCGATACATGGCCGCCTCCGGCGCCGGGAGGCGCCGAGAAAATCAGCTACGTGAGCTGATTCTCAAACCCCCCCTTTGCTATCCCCCCCTTTCGCCCGACCCGACTCTCCACCGCGCCACTCCCAGCAGCTCTGACACTGTGTACCGCGACGGCGCCCTCGTTCCCATCGTCCCGGTGCCCTCCCCCGGTCATCTTGTCCTCCTCCTCCGCCTCCTCCGCGAGTCACAGCACGTTGGAGAGAAGCCGGAGTGGATATTGCGCCAGCAGGAGAGGCCCGTGATCCTGGCATCGACAGATCTTCCAAAGGGGTTACACGTCGGCCCACACACACATGGCTAGACGAAAGAGAGCATGCAGTCGAATGAGCACGTTGGGCCGAAAGTTACGGAGATTGAGAAGGGAGAAGAGATCTCACATGCTCAACCAAGGTGCCATGCCAGCCTTATTGCGAAGGCCTTACGGCCGGTGCCGCCGACCCTGTTCGCAATGCGCAGCAAGAGGCACGGGCTGTGGGATGGTTTTGGGGAACGGGGAGAATGACGAGAAGGTGGGGGAGGGAGGTGTCGTATCTGACCCTGGACTTCCCCGGGACTCCCCTGGGACCCCCCCCGGGACCCCCCCTCCCCTTCCCGTCGGGGAAGGGAAAGGGAAGGGGCTTCCCTTCGACTGAATTACGACGTTGCTCAAGGTCGGTACGGGGGGGGGGCGTCGTATCTGACCCGGGGGGGGGGTCGATATCCCCCCCCCCACCCGGCGGGGGAGGGATCAAAGGGAAGGGGCTTCCCTTCGACTCAATTACGAGGTTGCTCAAGGTCGGTACGGGGGGGGGGCGTCGTATCTGACCCGGGGGGGGGGTCGCTACCCCCCCCCGCTACCCCCCCCCCCCTCCCGGGGGAGGGATCAAAGGGAAGGGGCTTCCCTTCGACTGAATTACGACGTTGCTCAAGGTCGGTACGGGGGGGGGCGTCATATCTGACCCAGGGGGGGGGTCGCTACCCCCCCCCCGCTACCCCCCCCCCCTCCCGGCGGGGGAGGGATCAAAGGGAAGGGGCTTCCCTTCGACTGCATTACGACGTTGCTCAAGGTCGGCTTGGCTCGAGCGGCTCGGGCGCGGCTCGGGCGGCTGGGGCGCAGGACAGAGACGACGAGTACAAAGAATAACGGAGATGACGGCTCGAACGGAAAAGCCCCTCACACACGCCGACAGGGTCGGCGGATTTTATGGAGTGAAGGAGTGAAGGCACACGGTGATCCGCCTTCAGCCATCACCCAGGCCAGAAGGAAATACATGTCGGGCATCGCCAAGGCAAGGCCAGGACGGTGCACTACGTCTTTCCTCAGCCTGGGTGGCAAAGACCCAGCACTGGAGATACTCCCAGCCCAACTTCGGGCATGGTTCGACCTCTATGCACACAGGCCCGACCTGAGGAAGTTGATCTCCAGATCCTGGGCTAAGATCTATGCCAGACTCAAGATCGCCCCCAAGCAACATCGTTGGCGACAGCGTCGGGGAGTCATGTGTTCCCTCATCCTGTTCCTGTGGGAGGCTGGCTGGGACCCCAAGACAGCTACGCGATGGACAGACCCCCGAGGCGACGACTGGGAAATGGCAGAAGATGCAGCTGAGAAGGACCCCATCCACCATCATCGACGCCATCATCGACGACAGCGAGAGGGGCCTTCGGCAGAAGGCCGCCGCACACTACAACGGCAAGGGCATGGAGGAGGGGGTCGACACCAGCGACGCGATCCGACACCTGGCCCGCCTGCGGAAGCAGGGCAGGCTCCCTGAGGCCAACGCCCTGCTCACCGCCATGACGGCGGGCACCTGGACGCCAGCGCGCAAGTACGACCTCTACGGCGACCTCGCGGGCACGTGCAACTGCAGCTGCGGCGCCAGGGCAGACGACCTCCACAGGATAGAGGGGCAATGCCCTGACAGAGCGCAGCACCCCGCCTTCGACAAGTCTGCACACCTCGTGCCCATGGCAGAGGCGGGCGCCACCCACACGCCGTGCTTCTGGCTACGTAGGCTCCCGCCGACCTCGTGGACTACGCCACCACCGTGCGAGACGCCCTACACGGAGGAGAGGTTCGGGGAGTTGGACAGGGCCCCGATTGAGGCCCCGCTCGGACTGCCCCTCATCACCTGCGGGGGCGGCAGCGGTGGCGAGGAGTCCGACGACCCTCGATACCGCAGGTGCGGTTGGGCATGGGTCGCGCTCGACGTGGCAGACCCCGGCCAGCCCAGGGTGAGTGGAGGAGCGTTCGCACCGCCGCAGGCCCTCGCCAGACAAACAATCGTGCCGAATTCTCAGCATTCATCTCAGCTATGTTGAACGCCCGTGGCAGATTACAGTACTGGACAGATCCAGAGGTCCTATTCAAGGGCTGGATGAAAGGTAGACGCACACGCCCAGCCAGTTGGAGCACGATGGGAGATTTGTGGATAGAAATTGGCGCAGCATTGACAGACAGGGGGGACCCTCGTGTTGACGTACTTTGGATGAACAGCCACCTCAGCATCGAGGAAAGTGTGCAGAAAAGAGTTCCGTTTCATGCTTGGTGTGGTAACGAGGCTGCAGATGAGTTTGCAGTCAAAGGCGCCCAGCAGCACCAGATCCCTCCTGCTCGCCTCTCCTGTTATAAGTGGGCTGTCGCCGTCTCCGCCTTAGTCCGCAAGAGGTTAATTCGTGCCACTTTAAACGCGTTTGAGCATGAAACCAGAGCGCCCTCGGACAGGATTGTTCGAAGGATGGTGAAACCTTCTAAGCCTGACGCTCTCAGAGCCGCCCAGCTGAAGTCGTCTCACACCCTCTGTATCATTCAGGCCCGTTGGGGCTGTCTCGATTGTCGTAGTTCGGTCAGTAAAATAGCATGTAAGCAAGCCATGAGTGAATGGATTTCCCGAGAGTGCCCTGGCCCACCTACCGACCAGCCGCGCCACACCCAGCTCGCCCTGGGGACCAGGAGCGGCCACGCATACCATGAGCTCGCTTTCTACGAGCCATACTGGATTTGCATCACGTGTGGTTGTCGGGCGTTGGAAGGGAGGGGCCACCTCAGAGGCCTCTCGGAAGTTTGCTCACCTCCTACTAAAATGGGGAGTTGGGTTATGTCTCGCGTCTTTCAGGGGAGGCCACTCAAATGAAGTCCTCCTGAGGGCCCAACCATCCAGACATCGTCTGATTGGGAAAGTCCTTTGGGAAGTCCCCTGCCCTGCGCTCTCCGCGAGGGCTGCTGCGCCTGCGGCCGGCGAAATGCGGGGGAGTGGGGCCTTTTTCCGAGTCTGCGGGGCGAGCGGGCGGAGGAGGAGCAGGAGGAGGGAGGAGAGCAGGAGGGGGAGGGCACGAGAGGAAGAAGAGGGCGAGGCGTACCTGGGTTGCGGGTTAGAGTCCTCATGGATGCTTCGTGGGGGCTTTCCGAGTGCGGGGCGAGCGGGAGGAGGAGCAGCAGGAGAAGGAGAAGAGCAGGAGGGACGGGGAACGAGAGGAAGAAGAGGGCGAGGCGTAGTCTGGGTTGTGAGCTGGAGTCCTCATGGACGCTTCGTTGGGTCTTTCCAGGGGGCGATCGGGAGCCTCTGGGGAGCATTTTTGAGGCCTCTGTGGAGCTGCTTGGGGGCTTCTTGGGGCTTCCTGGGGTTATGTCGGGCGTCTGGGGGGCCTCTTGGGGTCTATTGGGGGGCTCTTTGAGGCCTCTGGGAGCTTCCTGGGCACGTCTTGCGGCCGAGAGCTCGGAATGTCCGTTCGGGTTCCCCGTCTGGAACCCCCGCGGTTCTGGCGAAGTTCCTAGCGGAGAGAGAGAGAGAGAGAGAGAGAGAGACAACGCCTATGTTTGCATGATTGCGTCAGCGGTCCCATTCCCGTGCCCGTTTCCTTCCGCCCTCTCCCCTCCCCCCTTCCCCCCCTCCCCCCTTCCCCCCTTTCCCCCCTCCCCCTTCCCCCCCTTTTCCTCCTCCTCCAACTCCTCCCCCTCCCCCCCCTCCTCCTCCTCCTCCTCCCTCCTCCTCCTCCTCCTCCTCCTTCTCTCTACCTACAGGTATGAGTGCACGGCGTTCGCGGCCCTTCATGCTTCGTGCTGATTTTACGCTTGCGTGCGCTGTCGTCGGGGGCCCTAGCTCGTGTCACCCCCTCTACAGTCGCGCGTCCCTGAGCGTATGAGCCCCTGCTTAAGTCATTCTACCAGGCTGATTCGACAGGTCTTCGATCGATCGCTCTTGTGAGTTATTATTATTATTCGTATTATTATTATTATTATCAATATTATTATTATTATACCTCCTCCTTCTCCTCTTTTTTCTTTTCCTCCTCCTCCTCCTCCTCCTCCTCCTCCTCCTCCTCCCTCCGCCCCCCCCCCCGCGAGGTGTGCCCGCCGCCGCCGCGCGCGCCGCAGCCCGCCGCGCGGTGCGGGCCCGAGCCGGCAGGCGGCCCCGCGCCGCGCGCCCCCGCAGCCCGTGCCTTACTTCCGCCCCCGGCTGTCCAGCCCGCGGGGGGGCGACCTCCGAACAGTCGATCGGGGAGCAAGGAGGGAAGAGGGGGGGGGATGAGGAGGGAGGGGGACGAGGAGGAGGAGGAGGAGGACGACGACGAGGAGGAGGGGGATGAGGAGGGGGGGGACGAGGAGGAGGAGGAGGAGGACGACGACGACGACAAAGAGGAGGGGGCTGAGAAGGGGGGGGGGACGAAGAGGAGGAAGACGAGGAGGAGGAGGAGGAGGAGGAGGAGGAGGAGGAGGAGGACCAGTGTGAACCCAAGCGTCATCAACGATGTTGGAGTAAACCCTCCCTCCAAGCTCCCTCTTCACAGGCTCCTGCAACGGTTCCTTTCCATTGAGGGAACTGCCTGTTCGGAAGACTATCTTCTGAAAACCCTGGGGCATGCCAAAACATGACTCTCGGGATTCCAACGCCACGGATCAACCTGACTACTGCGCTTTGACGATCCTGAATCGCGCCAGAACGCCATTCCAGGGACTTCAACACAGAGAACCAACGTACTTGTTGCATCTGCATAGTCCTGAATCCTTCCAAAACACCATTTCTGGTACGAGGATGAGGAGAAGCCGTGAAACTCTTGCATGCTTTAAAGGAATATGCGCCGCGCTCAGGCGAAAGCCACATTTTGAAGAGGAGCCGCCCTCAATCCGTGAAGCTCTTGCAAATTTTCAAAGCGAATGTGCGCCGCGTCAAGGCGAGAGCCACATTTTGAAAACGGCCCGCCCTCAAAACTTTGGCAAATTTTCAAAACGAATGCGCGCTGCGCTAAGGTGCGAGCCACATGTTGAAAACCACCCGCCCTCAATCCGTGAAGCCCTTGCAACTTTTCAGAACGAATGTGCGCCGCGCTAAGGCGAGAGCCACGTTTTGAAAACGATCCGCCCTTACAACTCTTGCAACTTTTCAGAACGAATGTGCGCCGCGCTAAGGCGAGAGCCACATTTTGAAAACCACCCGTCCCTTGGACGGTGCAAGCCAAGACCAGAACGAGCCGGAATCCCAACCCATCCTGAAGTCCCGTGACCGACACCCCGAGCAGCAGGAATCAATGGGGCAGACCATCCATGATTGTGCGCCCAAGCGGTGGCGTCGTCAACCTCAGACTCCACGAGGTGGTGCTCCTGGATCAAGAGCACATTTTGCTGTAACTTGCGGCAACCATTTCATGAGCCTCCCTACACCTGACTTCCTGGACGTGACGTTGACCGTTTGACCGCCTAAGTTCCAACCACGAATATCTTGGGCCGGCTTGAGGAGCACAAAAGGGAAGACGCCAGATGAGCCCGTCTGGGGCACGCCATGATTATTGTTGCTGATGTGATTGCCGAGCCACGGGCGCGATAGCGCAAAATGCCATGTTGAAGTTGGCGCTATCAACTCGGAGTGCCTCGGGGGCAGCTTGGAGACGAATGGCTCAATCAAGGGGGAAGGGGGCAAGATGGGGAGAGGAAGGGGGAGGAAGGAGAGTGGCGAACAGGCGTAAAGCTCCAGTGCTCCTGCAGACTGCCAATCCCTCGTCCTCCTCTCCTGTGTCCTCCGCCTCCCTCCCCTCCTTCTGCAGAGCGGCCGTGACAGGCACAGCACAGGGGCCGTGCACGGAATGTTTGCCCACAGGGTTGTTCATTCAATGTGTGTCCCCACGTGTGAAGCATACGGTTCTATCGTGCGGCAGGAAAAGGCGGCTTGAGTCTCCTTCATGTTGTCCATTCCCCTCGTTCTCCTTTGCGTCGTTGCCCACTCCCGCGTCCTCGGCCTCCGCCTGAGCACGATTTGCGTGCTGCACAAGCCAAGGTTCCGCGTGCGGGCTCGTCTGCTGCTGGTTGGTCCTCGCGCGATTCTGGGTTTGTTTGTTGCAGCTCGTGGGCAACACCATCCGCCAGGGAGTGTGTTTCACGGCAGAACACAGTCAAACAAAAATCGGACCCGGTCTTCAACATTTGCCCCCAACTCCTCTTCTCAGCGTCGGACTACATAGCACCGTGACCACCTGCCCAAGCTGCTACTCCTTTCCCCTCGTTTGCATGCTCCTGCCAGTTTGCCGGCATTGCGTGATCATCAGGATTTGGCGGAGTTGGTGCGGGGAGAAGGATGAGGATGCTGAGAGAGAAAAGGGGGAGAGTTGAGGATCAGTAGAAGGACGATGAGGCATGGGAGGAGTAGGTGAGGTTGGAGAGGGTGGCGCGGAGAGGGAGGACGAGAGTGAGAAGAGCAGTGGGTTTTCGTGGGTCCTTTCCCTGTGCACGTATTCGAGAGCGGTTCCCTGAACTCCGCTCGAGAGCCACTGTCGTGGCGCCTGCAGGTGCTGCGCCGGGGAGTCCACACCGAGCCACGGCGGCCCTGACGCGCTCCGCTCCTCCTCCCACCTCTTGCTGCTGCTGCTGCTGCTGCTGCTCCTCGCCTGGCCCCCGGGGGTGAGGCCGAGTTCTTGGCATCGCTCGGACGTGTGCATTGTTCCTTGGGCGAGGACCATCGAGGAGCATCCTTGATCCTGTGGCGAAAAAAAAAAAACACGCACGAAACCGAGCAAAAACACGCAGGAAGTGGACGTCCGAGCGATTGCCAGAGTTGCGAGCTCCGAGCTCGGACCCGAGGCGCCCCAGCGTATTCGCCCTTCCCTACGGGGGGGACGCCCTCCGGGCGGCCTCGGCGCCGCTCCGCTCCCCGCTCCTTGCCCGCTCCGCCCCCGGAGAGGCGCGGCGGCGGAGCCGTGCAGAGCCGAGCGGGCGGCGGAGGACGGGCTCTTTTCGGCGGCGGGCGCGGGGGGGAAATGAGAAGGGGCGGGACTTCCGAGGCTTCTGAGAAGTTTCTGGACTTCTGAGAGGGCTTCTGAGAAGTTCTGTCTGTATTCGAAATAGGCCAAGGAAACGTCTCAGAAGCCCCCCGGACTTCTAAGAAGTCCCGCGGCCTTCTTAGAAGGCCTTCTCCTTCTCATTTCCCCCCTGGGCTCGTCGCCTATCTTTGCTCCACGCTTGTCCTCCTGGCCTGCGGCGCAGCCTGAAGGCAGGCCTGTCCCTCCAGAGGGGGGATAGGCCAAACATCGTCTGGGGACCAGTTTTTGTTGACACTTTTTGAGCACTGTTGGGGTATGTTTGGGCATTCTTTTTTTTCGTCCAAAATCGGCCTGCAGGGGGACAGGCCCGACTTAAACGTAGCCATCCTCGTCAGAGTCCTCGTCCTTCGCATTCTCGGCAACCGGAGCATATCCACTACCAGTGGCGGGCTGTTGTTCAGTCTCAGGTCTTCTTGAGGCTCGGGGACGGCGTCGGTGTGGTGTGGTGCATGCTTGTTGATCCGTTTCTCGGAGAAACAACGAAACATGTATACACCAGGATCCCGTATACACCAGGATCCGTTTCCTTGGTTGCAAATTCCAATGCAGGGCCAGGAAAAGCGTCGGTGTATAGAGTTCGGCTTCCTACATTCATCGGCTTTACACGCACACGCGTACCCGTGGACATGGACATGTCTGTATATGCCATCGCCCCACCAGTTGCGGGCAAGAGTGAGGGTGGCGGCGGCTTCGTCGTCAGTCTTCGAGGCTCTGAAGAAGCCCGCCGCAGGCGCCGAACTTGTGCCACAATTTCGTGGGTGTGTGTGGACTTCGAGTGGGTCGCGGGGAGGTCGCGGGGGAGTCGCGGGTGGCTCGCGGGTGGGTCGTTGGGGCGGACGACGGAGGTAACATTAAACAACGAACGAGCAGCAGCAATAACCATCAGCGCAGAAGTCCATGTCGTAAGACTGTTCTGCTAGTTCTGAGATGCATGGCTGTGTGCACTACGTACGGTCAGGAATCGGAGAGGCCTGACGGCTGGTGCCGCCGACCCTGATCGGAAGGGCTAGGAGTGGGGGGAGGAAGCGGCGGATGAGGATGAGGAGGAGGAGGAGGAGAAGGAGGAGGAGCAGGAGGAGGAGGAGGATGAGAAGGAGGAGGAGAAGGAGGAAGAGGAGGAGGAGGACGAGGAGGAGGAGGAAGAGGAGGAGGAGGAGGAGGAGGAGGAGGAGGAGGTTCTGAGATGCATGGCTATGTGCACTACGTACGGTCAGGAATTTTAGCTCAGCGGGTCGCTCCGCCGGTTCTGGCCCACCACGCTTCGGTGCGATACGCTATCCAACTCCCGGCCCCCTGAGCACCAACGTCCCGAGCGTTACCAGACCTCCCGTCCCGCACAGCGGAGCGACATACCATCCACTCGCATGGCATTGCATGTCGCCAGGGCCGCCGCCCAACCGTATACATGCGACAACGACTCATAGATGCGCGTGCATGTGCATGCGATCAAACGTTTACACCATCGATGTCGAGGCAGAGGGGCGTTCGGACTCCGAGCTCAACCACTGTCTTGAACGGGATCCCGAGGGCCTCTGGCGGCGTCTGGGATGCCCAGGGGGGGAAGGCCCAAGCTCTAGGACTCCCAGGCGGGGTCGGAGCAGGTGGGATCGTAGAATCGCGCCGCATCGCCGATGCATCGGCGATGCGGCTCGATGTGGGGCCCGACTTTCTGCCCGCTCGCGTCGACGATGTGCCGCCGACGTGGCCGATGCATCGCTGATGCATCGCTGATGCATCGCTGATGCATCGGCGATGCACCGGCGATGCACCGGCGATGTGGCGCGATCCTCCGACCCCATCTACCCGGATCCCATCCCGGAGGCCTCTACAAGCGTATTGAACAATTGTATGTGTTTCAATGGCGTTTGCGTTCTTCCGTCTCGGTCTTCACAGCGCTCTAGAGAGTTAAAAGGGCACCGAGTTCGCCCCAGTGTTGTTTTGCTGTCCACATATTGAATGGGTTTCTTGTTTCCAAGCATTGCCTTCTCCCTCCTTCCCTCCTCCTCCTCCTCCTTCTCCTCCTCCTCCTCCTCCCTACCAGCCTTCGTGCTTACTCACGCTTCGTGCCACTCCCATCCCTTCTGGGAGGCCCTACCATTGGAGTACCATCTCATATAAGAGGGTGTCGGTGCGCCCTATTCTTTTCTAGGTTTCGTGCCCCTCACACCCCTCCAGGGAGTCCCAGCTAGATTGCGGGAGGGTGTCGGAGTACCCCTCCCACCTTGTCGGAGCACCATATTATTTACATGGCCTTGTACCCCCGACAACCCCGTTCATGTAGACCCCCCCAGACTGCGGCAGGGTTTCGGAGCACCATATCATTTGCCAGTTTTCGTGCCGCTCCCACTCCCAGGGAGGCCCCGCCTGGCCGCGGCAGGGCATCAGAGTACAATCGTATTTGCCAGGTTTCGTGCCTCCTGCCACTCCTCTAGGGAGACCCGCCCGCCAGACCGCGGCAGGCCATCGGAGTACGTACGATATGGTTCACCAGGTTTCGTGCCCCTCCCCTCCCTCCAGGGACGCCCACCAGGCCGCGACACGGCATCATAGTACAACAGTCTTTGCCAGGTTTTGTGCCCCCCGCCACCCCTTTAGCGGGTCCCCACCAGACCGCGGCAGTTTATCGGAGTACCACATGATTTATCATGTTTCGTGCCCCCCCCCCTATTCTCACCCCTCCAGGAAGATCCCGCCAGACTGCGGCAGGATATTGGAGTAAGATATGTTTTGCCAGGATCTGTGCCCCTTCCACCCGTCCAGGGAGGCCCCGCCAGACCGCGGCAGGATATCGAAGTAAGATGTGTTTTGCCTGGTTTCGTGCCCGTCCCACCCGTCCAGGGAGGCCCCGCCAGACCGCAGCAGGGTATCGAAGTCCCATCTTACTTTCAATGTCTCGTGCCCCTCCCACCCCTCCGGGGAGTCGCTGCAAGACCACGGCAGGGCTTCGGAGCGCCACCTGATTTTCGCGGTCGCGTGCCCCTCCGACCCTTTCTAGGGAGGTTCCGCCAGATCGCGGTTGATGAGGCTGCCCTGCTTCGAGCCCGCGCATGAAGCCTTGCTGTGGGGGATTCCGACAGCACAGTTCAATGCTTGTGTTTTGCTTGTTCTTTGCTTCAATTCTTAAAAAAATAGCCAAAAAGATACAAGCGATTATTCAAAACTTGTCAAACAACCGTTCCCTTACCATGTTTTGACGATTTTTTAATTTTCCTCCTGTAGAGGTGCACGCCCGACTTGCTTTTTGCTTCACGATTTTTCGGCCTCCCGGTCACAAGAGCATCCAAGAGTAGGGGCTGCGTTCGCACGGCGTCGTTGCACCCCTGTCGGCGCACCCCTTGCGCGCTTCGTGGCCTCACGGGAAGCTTGGCTGGAGACGGTACGCACGCCTGCGGTTTCCTGCAAATTGCCTATGGTTGGGTCTTTCGCCCAGATGTCTGCTTTACGGCTCTCGGCAATCCCGTCGCAGGAGTAGCAGCCTCGTACGGTGGGGGCGCGTGCCAAGAAACCAGTTGGATTTTGCCAGGGTGCCCTGGGTTTCTTGGACTTCGATGGGTCCCCAATAAGACCTGGATGAGTTTCGATCGACAAATTCGGGTTTTCTTTAAACAAATCGCGGATTTCAGGGTTGGGTTTCTTGAGGAGGTTTCTTGTGGCCGAGGCCCCACTGTATTGGAGAACTAGGATAACGTCCATGCAACGGCTCTCGTGGTACAGGGATTCGAGGCTCTCGTGGTAGAGACCTGCCGCCTGCATGTGGTGCAAGATCTGGGGGCGCACCTCCTCTGGCTGCACGCCCTATCTCCCCCCTCGGGTATGTCCTGTGCGGAGACTTCGACTCAGAGAGAGCCCTTTTCACTGGGAGGTCCTCCGCAATAAAACAGCCAGGAGAGGAGGAGATACCGATACCGCCGCACTTAGGCGATAGTCATCGTCTTCACGGCTGCAGTTCCTTCGAAGTTTTGGTCAGAAGGTGTCCCGGGAGATGCCTGGGGACTAGCGGTATCGGTATTTGCCTGTCCCCCCCCCCTAAATAAGGGTATTGGTCCGCTTGGGGTATTGCGTGGTTGTTTCAGGAGCCCGTCCTCCAGGATCTCTGCAGCAGCTCATCTTGCTCGACGCACGCAGCCGCAGTCCAAGATCCATGTTGTCCTACTCGTGTCGGTACGTCGCTAGTGTCCAGGTTTTCCTCAGCGTGCACTTGGGGGAGACATCTCCCGGAGCATTTTGAGAACCGCGACGCCGATTCCTGGGCATCAAGACATCGTGAAATCAGGGAAGGAAGAGCATTCCCTGCCCGGCCGACCCCTTGGCACCCTCCGTCCTCCAAGGTCTCTCAGGCGCGTCCTGCGCTGACGTGTGGCGGCTGGGAGATCGGGCGGGGGTCACTGTCGAGAGTTCGGCGTGAACCTCCTAGGGCTTCTCTTGTTATGGTTTCGTCCGCAGGCTGAATGAGGCACCCGTCTGAAAAGAGCATGACGTCGAGGCCACTCCAGCGCTACAGTGGGGGCTCGATTCTCCCTTGATGGCGCTGCGGAGTTGCCAGCTATCTCGATCTCCCCTCACTTGCCCTCTACCCCTCCCCTTCCTTCCTTCCTTCCTTCTTTCTCTCTCTCTCTCGCACTGGTGTTTGCCCGAAGCAAGCCTCTTTGCCGCAGGAGCTGGAGAAGATGTCGCTGGGCTCGGTCAATCACCCCCACAGCTGTGCGCGGGTCCAAGATGCCCCCCCGTTACGTGTGGTTCTTGGCCAGAGCAGGGTGAACTAAGGTAGGGGGGGCCTCGGGGGGTAAGGGAAAAGGCAAGGGGTGGAAGGGGGGACTGGGCCTGAAGGTGGTGGGGCGGGCGGAAGGCAGGGAAGGAGTAGAGTGGGGGGAGGGGGAGAAATGAAGGGAGGGAGTTGAGGGACGGGGGTCAAAAGGAGGTGGCGAGGAGGGGGGAGGGAGCGCATGGGGGGGAGCGAAGAGGAGGTCGTGTAGAAGTCCAGCCAGCCTCTGAGGCGTAGGTGGTTCAGGGAAGTTCGGAGCTCGGCTACACAACCCTCCTTCCCCTTGGGGCTCTCCTCCTCGAGGATCTGGGCAGGGGGCTGCGGTAGAGCGTCAAAGATGGCCAAAGATGATTCCAATATGGCCCACGCTCCCACGCTGGACAAAGACTGCGCCCTGCCCTGCCCCAATGTATACGGTGATTGTATACAGCTATACCTGATATGCAGATGCTCCAATCGTGGCTCAATCTTTCTCTGCTCTGAGGTGGCTTCCCCTGTCGGGGTCGCATCGACTAGCTCTTCTCGACGAGTGTGTGTGTGTGTGTGTGTATGTGTGTGTGTGTGTGTGTGTGTGTGTGCGTGCGTGCGTGCGTGCGTGCGTGCGCGCGCGCGCGTGCGTACGCGCGCGCACGCGTGTGTGTGTGTGTGTGTGTGTCGTGTGCGTGCGTGCGTGCGTGCGTGCGTGCGTGCGTACGTGCGGGCGTGCGCGTATGTGTGTGTACGTGCGTGTGTGTTGTGTATGTGGTGTTTGCACGTGTGTGTGTGTGTGTGTTTGTGTGTGTGGGGAGGGTCTGTGTGTGTTGTGTGTATGTGTGTGTATGTGAGTGCGTGTGCGCTGGGCTGTGCGGGTGTGCGGGGGGTGGGGCGTCGGCCCCGATTGCATGCAGAAGCGGGGGTAGGTCAGGAGCAGGAGGGAGGGAGGAGAGGGAGGACGAAGGAGGACGGCGAACATGATGACAGGGGATGGGACGAGGAGGAGGGGGAGGCCAAGGATGTCGGGCTGGTGGAGGGAGGGAGTGATTGATGAATGATGGGAGACATTACGAGGAGAGTGAGGACGACGAGGAGATGACAAGGGGTAAAAGGGGAAGAGGAGGAGCAGAAGGATGAAAAGGAGGGTGGAGGATGAGGAGGGTGTAGCAATGAGAAGGAGGCTGACTGGCGGAAAGATGACGAAGTTTTGGGGGGCGACAGGGGGTGGAGAAGAGAGTCAGGACCGAGGAGGATGGAGGAGGAACGAATAGGAGTACCATGGAGGGAACGAGTGAGGAGGAAGAGGAGGACAGGAGTGGAGGAGGAGAGGGAGGACAAGGAGGATGCAGGAGGAGGGAGGATCCGGAGCAGGGCGAGGACGGCGTGGAGACCCGGCCCCTGGGCGAGGCGCCACGAGGCTGCGGCGGAGGCCAGCGCCCTTGGGCTTCCCCCTCCTCCTCCTGCTCTTCCTTCTCCGCCTCCTCCTCGCTCCTCCTCCTCGCTCCTCCTCCTCCTCCTCCTCCTCCTCCTCCTCGCTTCTCCTCCTCGCTCCTCCTTCTCCTCCTCCCCCTCCTCCTCCTCCTCCTCCTCCTCGCTCCTCTCCTCCCTCCTCGCTTCTCCTCCTCGCTCCTCCTCCTCCTCCTCCTCCTCCTCCTCCTCCTCCTCCTCCTCCTCCTCCTCCTCCTCCTCCTCCTCTCCTCCCCCTCCTCCTCCCCTCCTCCTCCTCCTCCTCCTCCTCCTCCCTTCTCCTCCTCCTCCTCCTCCTCCTCTTTCCTCCTCCTCCTCCTCGCTCCTCCTCGCTGCTCAGCTCCTCCTCCTCTCCTCCTCCTCCTCCTCCTCCTCCTCCTCCTCCCCTCCTCCCCCTCCTCCTCCTCCTCCTCCTCCTCCTCCTCCTCCTCCTCCTCCTCCTCCTCCTCCTCCTCCTCCTCCTCCCCCTCCCCTCCTCTCCTCCTCCTCCTCCTCCTCCTCCTCCTCCTCCTCCTCCTCCTCCTCCCTCCTCCTCCTCCTCCTCCTCCTCCTCCTCCTCCTCCTCCTCCTCCTCCTCCCCCTCCCCCTCCTCCCGCACCCTCGCGGCCACGCGCCTCCGGCCGTGCTGCGGCGACGGCCCGCCCCCGTCGCCGCCGCGGGAGCGGCCGAGGCCAAAGCTTGCAAGTATTTCCGCAAGCCCCGCGGCTGCAAGGCCAGGCCCCGCGGGGAGGAGGAGGAGGAGGAGGAGGAGGAGGAGGAGGAGGAGGAGGAGGCGGAGGTGGAGGTGGAGGAGGAAGAGATGGAGGAGGAGGAGGAGGAGCGGAGTGGAGGAGGGGAAGGAGGAGGAGGGAGGAGGAGGAGGAGGAGGAGGTGGAGGAGGAGGAGAGTACAGCGGGCCGCTGGCGATCTCCTTCCAGGACTGCTGCAGTGCGGCTGTCACGGTGAACGGAGGGATGGTTCTTGCGGGCTGCAGCCTGGCGACCACGATGATCAAAGTCATGCTGTACCGCATGTTCGTCAGCCTCGGACGTGAGCACCCGACGGTGGTGGTGCGCAACGTGGTGGACGACGTGTCGGCGCAGTGCATCGGGACGGCGAGGCACTTGGCGGAGCAGCTGGGCGCGGTGGGCCGTGAGCTCGCCTCAGGTTTTTCTGGCCTAGGCCTCGTGCTGCAGGGCAGTAAGAGTTTTTTTTCTCGCGTCCTGTCAGTCTGTTGCCGACCGTCTGTCCATCGAGTGGGAGGCTCTTGGGTTCAGGCGTAGAGGTGTTGCGCGCAACCTGGGCACGGATGCGGCGAGGGCTGGCAGGCGTAGGGTTCCGATCGCCTCGTCCAGGATTTGCAATGGCTTCCGCCGCGCGGGGCGCCTTAGAAGACTGCGTGAGGCCGGCGCGAAGATTGGTGCGGTGCACCGCGCAGGGCCCCAAGCGGCGTGCCTTTGGGGCTCTGCGGTCGTCGGGTTGCCTGGCAGGAAGCTCCACGCTCTTCGTTTCCATGCAGTGTGCAGTCTCTTTCGGAGGAAGAGGACGGCCTCGACGGGCCTGCGTCTCCTGAGCTCCACTCTTGGGGCCCAGCTCGACCCAGCTAGGCTGTACCACTGCGAAGTTGTTTATATGTGGGCGCGTGCCGTCTGGGAGGGGCCCCCGCCGCTGAACATTCTTCAGACTTGTTTCGTGTCGGCACGGGACCACCTCCAAGCGGCCGCCTCGAAGTGGGGGGCCGCCACTTCGCCCGCCCATGTCTGGCTCGGGCGGTGGTCTCGGAAAGAGGGGGGCAGCTAGATTTGCTCAGGATTTCACCCAGCCTCGTACGCCAGCTCGCTGAGAGAGCGGCGCCGGGGGCATCCGATGTGGCCTCGCTCGCCAAGCATCAGCGCTTGCGAGCTTGGCTCAGACCAGTTTTTTGGCGACCGCTGAGGCGGTTGATGGAGGGCCCAGAGTCTTCGTGCTGGTCGTCGCACCACCAGTATTCCCTTCGCTCGCTGGTGTCGCAGACCCAATGGCCTCAGCAGCGGTTGTGCGACCACGGCCTGGCCTCTCGAATGTTTGTCGAGCGTGCGCAGGTGCGCCAGGCACGCTGATGCATCGCAGAATTGATTGCCCTGCGTTCGAGGTCGACAGGCGGACTATGTGCAGTTCGCCCGTCAGGTCGGCCCTCGACCAGGTACGAGAGTGGGGCATGGAGTCCGAGCTCGCTGCTTGCGGCATATTCCCCTCGCCCCTCGACCCCCCCCCTGCCCCGATCGTCTCGTTCGACGAAGCGTGCCAAACATGGTGGTTCAACCGTCCCTCGTCAGGTTTTTTGCAGGGCATGGTCTTCACTGATGGATCCGCCCTCTGTCCGTCCTGTGAGTACTCGCGGCGCGCGGGCTGGGGTCTCGCGATGACTCGAGTTGGGCAGGTTCCAGGCGGGGTGTTTCGGAGCGGTCCCAGCGGACCTCTTCCCGTTCCAGCAGGCCCGAGACGGGGAGGAGGCTGCCTATTTCTTTGTTTGCGAGTGCGTGCAGGAGCCAGTCGGGCTTTTTATATAGTTATAAAAAACGGCCAGGGTACGATCGACTGCGCGCTGTCCCAGGTATTCGCCGCCTGCTCGTCGAACCCCAGGGCACACCTCTGGGCCAGGATCCACGCGAGGTTCGATTCGGGCCTGTTGACCCACAAAGTCAGAGGCCACTCGACTATCCATGATGCGTGGGCGTGGCGGACGACGGAGTGGGAACGGGCGGGAAACAGTTTGGCTGACAAATTCGCCCGCCGCGGAGCGGCTTGTCACCCCTCCACTGCGTCGGCCCACGCGGACATCCTAGCCCTGGACCGCTTGGTCCAAGAGGCGGCCCGCTGGGCCGCGCAGCAGGAAGTGAGGCTGGCCGAGTCCTCGGCCCAGGACTCCGACGCCCTCCCGCGGGCGGGGGCGGGGGGGAGGTGGGGGCCAGCCTTTGTTCGTTCGGTTTCGCCTCCCCCGCCCCTGCCCTGCGCGTTTGTCACGGGAGGGCGCGGCCGCTTCAAGCCCCAGAGCCCTCTGGCCTGCGGTTCTCGAGACGTTTCCGGGATGTTGCTGATGCTACAGCTCCTCGGACACCGTCTGCGCGCGGCCGTTGTCCCCGACCCCCACGGGGCCACCGTTTTCTCCGGACCCGCGGCCCTCGTCTGCATCGCCTGCGGGGGCAATGCGTGGGGGATGCCGCCTCGCTGGCGCGCCCGTGCGGGGGCAGGCCGCCCACCAAACACGCGGGGCGGCAGCTGGCGAGGGTGTGGAGGGTTTTGTTCCCCTCGTGGCCCCCCCGGTATGGGGGTTGGCGGCTCGGGTCCTTGCGGCCCTCGGGGGACCTCCTGGCCCTGGCGGCCCCTCGTGTGCGTGGTGGCGTGCGGGCCTCGCCCAGGGCCCAGGAGCCCGTTTGGGGGGCCCGGTGGTCCCGTGAGGTCCTTCGGGGGTTCGGTGTCTCCTCGGACCAGCTCGAATTTTGGACGGTGCGGGACGGGGGTTCGGGCCCTCCTGGGGAGGTTGAGGACGAGGATCCCGCCCTTCTTCGAGCTGGCTACGAGGTTTTGTTTTTAGGCATGGCAGGCACCGCCCCACGTCTTAAACTAGACTAGAATAGAATAGAGGAGGATGGGGAGGAGGAGGTGGAGGAGGAGAAGGAGGAGGAGGAGGGAGGCGGGTGGAGGGAGGAAAGAGGAGGAGGAGGAGGAGGAGGAGGAGGAGAGGAGGAGGACGAGGAGGAGGAGGAGGAGGAGGAGGGGGAAAAGGAGGAAAAGGAGGAAAAGGATGAGGAGGAGGAAAAGGAGAAGGATGATGATGATGAGGAGGAGGAGGCGGAGGCGGGGGCGGAGGCGGAGGCGGAGGCGGAGGCGGAGGCGGAGGCGGAGGCGGAGGCGGAGGCGGAGGCGGAGGCGGAGGCGGAGGCGGAGGAGGAGGAGGAGGAGGAGGAGGAGGAGGAGGAGGAGGAGGAGGCGGAGGCGGAGGCGGAGGCGGAGGAGGAGGAAGCGGAGCAGGTGATAATTGATTCACTTCAAAGGTGATTTGCCCGCCGACTACGCAAGAAACGCCACGAATGTTCGCAACACTACTTGGCATGTATTGGCATGTGTCGCAGATTCGGCGGGAAACTCAATTCTCGGGTGAATCAATTCTGTAGTCGATCCCCTACCCGAGCAGTGGGACGAGCAGGGGCAGCAGGACAAGGGAGGACGATGGAGGCTGAAGGAGGAGGAGGAGGAGGAGGAGGACCAGAACAAACCCAGGATGCATCAACGATGCTGCGATATACCCTCCCGTCCCGAGTCCCTCCTCACAGGTCCCCGCAGGCCTTCCCTTTGACTATACGAAGCGCCCCCTAGAATTACCAGTATCCCAGATGCCATTCAGGCGGACCAGCGAGATCATGCGGACCAGCGATATGTCCTACGATATCCACGCTTGTGAGAAAAACAAGGCCGCCCCCCACCTGTGCGCTTGTTGCGCAAGTTCAGGTTTCGGGGGTAATGAACTTCGAGGGCACCGCGAACGAGAGTCCCGCTTTGAACAGATACCGCCGCCGTCCTTGTTACACACGGTCAGGCGTTTTGCTCCAGAAGTCTGAAGCGAAAACCGCGGCTTGAAACAAGTACCTCCTGCCGTCCCTGAAGACTTGAACTTTATGTGATCGACAAGCCGTGTCTTACGTTGAGGACGAATGTGCGAGGAGCATAGGCAACAATTCTAGTTTGAGATTGAGCCGCCCTCTATGTTTGAATACTATGCAAACGTTACCGACGAATGTGCGCGGCGCTCAGGCGTGAGACCAGCTTTGAAAGCGACCTGCGTTCCATGCGTGCAACTGCTGCAGTATTTTACCATGAGTGTGCGCGGCGGTAGGTCAAGAACCCCACTTTGAAAACGATGTGTGCTTCATCCCTGAGGCTGGTGCAAGCGTGTATGACGAAAGGGCGCGGCGCTGAGGCAAGCGCTCCGTTTTGGAAACGGCCTCATCCATCACTGATCCAGTTGCCAGTTGCAGTCTTCAGCCTCATGATGTGTGAAGCAATGATGAGGCGAAACGCCAGGCCTGCCCGAACGGCACGCCCCAGGGTGCGACAGAGAGGAATTATCTGCAAGGAATTGGGATCGAGGGGGAGGACACGTGACGAGGCACTCGGAGGAATACTACGAATTGGGGGAGCAGGATTTGGAGTCATGGGAGGAAAGCGATGATGATGCTCATGATGGTTTTGATGATGATGATGCTGCTGATGATGATGATGATGAAGATGGTGATGACGATGACGATGCCGATGACGATGATGATGACAATGCTGATGAGGATGATGATGAAGATGAGGATGAATATGATGATGAGCATGACGATGGGTACGTATGATGATGGTGATGGTGATGGTGATGATGGTGATGGTGATGCTGGTGATGATGATGAGGATGCTGGTGAGGATGATATTGATGATGATGATAATGATGATGTTGTTAATGTTGTTAATGATGATGCTGCTGATGATGATGCTGCTGATGATGATGATGGTGATGGTGATTGTGGTGATGATGATGACTGTGACGCTGCTGCTGTTGATGTTGTTGATGACGCTGGTTATGCTGATGATGAAGATGCTGATGCTTTCGATGATGGTGGTGGTGATGCCGATGATGGTGATGATGCTGATGATGCTGGTGATGATGGTGGTGGTGATGACGATGATGTTGATGGTGCTGATGATGCTGGTGATG